TTAAAAAGCCAGATCATCAGACTCTCAACAGACATGGGCGTGGGGCCCAGGACTCTGCATGTTTCACAAGCCTTGCAGATGATTCTTATGCTGGCTGAAGCTGAAAACCCACTCCTCTAAAAGGTCCACTAGAATGTCCGGCACACAGTAGGTGTTCAATAACTGTCAGTATAGGCACACAGTAGGTGTTCAATCACTGTCAGTAGACAGACTAGGTGCCCTTGCACATGTGGCCTGCCGCAGCCCCGCCTTCTTCCACCCTCACTTGCAGGAGCTCGGTCATCAACCTGTTGGGACGGGAGATGGCAGGGGGCCCTCTGAGGGCTGTAGACTGAGCTACGAAGTGAGAAAAAGCTTCAGGGAGCAACCGGCCAAGAATTCAGATTCAGCACATGCCGCCCCTGAGTGGGGACCTGAAGGCCAACAGTCCCATCTCTGCTGGAAGTCTGTGTGTTGTCAACAGGGAGCAAATGGGGACTTTTCTGCACTGTGGGGCTGGGAGCTTACCAGATGCATGACTTGGGAGTCTGGGTTGGGTCCGTAGGGCCTGGGAGCGATTGGGCTGGACTGGGTTCCCGAGCCTGGACCTGGACATCTATGTACTCATTCATTCATTCATTCATTCACTCATTTCATCCCTTCATCGCCTCCTGCATACCCTTCGTCCTGTATTCCGTCCTTGTTCACTTCAACGTTATCAGGCCCCTCCTGTTAGGTATGTCCTGGGCCAGAACACAGAGGAGATGCACACGAAGGGGCTCAATCCAGGGAAATAGAGGGGGACGAGGCAAGTCCCCACCCTCGGGAATCACACAGTCCAGCAGTGTGAGGGGCGCCGTGCTCAGAGCTCCTTGGCTATGGAGAGGCCACCAAACTCGGTCTGAACCCACTGTACCCCGTACTAGCCAGATAAGCATACCGTAAGGCTTGCTCCTCACCTGGTACAAGGCAGCGTGTGTCAAACATCTTTCCATAACCGCTGGTATCACAATTACTAAGAGAGGCTAGGGCCATGTAAGCGACTAATACCGGAGTGAGTGTTTTGCTAACAGTCTGTAGATATATCATGTTATCCTGCTCGGCTTGCTGGGTGGGGTGTGCTCGAGGGTGGTTTTGCGGAAGAGCAAGGAGTGGGGCTGTGACTGGAAGGAGAAGTAGGTGATCACCAGGCAAACAGAGGAAAAGACCCCTCAGGCCGAGGAACCCGCCTGGGCAAAGGCATGGAGGTGGGAGCTCAGGGTTGCCCTGGATGCCCAGGAAGTTAGCGTGTGGAGCTAGGGTCCTGGGGGGGGGGTCTGCTGGGCAGGCCGACTGGGCCAGGACATGGAGGCCTTCAGTGTCTGCTGGAGGAGGCTGAACTCAGTTCTGAGGGCCGTGGGGAGTTATGGGATAGGCTGCTTCTCAACCTGGGCATTCTGGACAATTTGGGCTGGATAATTCTCTGTGAGGAGGCTGTCCTGAGCGCTGCGGGGCATTCGGCAGAATCCCTGGCCTCTACCCACCAGGTGCCAGCAGCACCTCTCCCTGCGCCCTGCAGCTGTGACCACCCAAAATGTCTCCAGACATTGCCAAATGTACTGGGATGGGAGAGGGGGCAAAATGACCTCTGCGTTGAGAATTCCTGGGCCAGGAGAGTGGTATGAGGGGACGATGCTTTGCAGGCCTGGGCGTGGCCTGACCACTGCATGGAGGGGCAGATGCCGGGACAGAGCCCAAAGGCCAGCGCCTCATCGGGAGGCCCAGAGCATCCCGGGTGAGAGGTAGAGCCAGGGCTGGGCTATGGGGCAGAAGGAAAGGGTCCAGGCCCTCCATGCTGCCTCTGCTGGCACTGAGCTTTACCAGATTCCTCAGTGGCAGGTACGATATGATGAGTGTGAAGATCCGTTCCTGACCTTGAAGAGAAAGTCTCGGACGACATGTGCAGGTCAAATGGAGATACGAAGTGGTTTGGCCAGAATTGGCCATCGCCACCCCCAGCCTAAACAAGATGTGGGGTTGGAGAAGCTAAGAGAGAGGATTTGGAGGAAGGAGTCAGCCTTGTGCTGAGTGCTGCCTGCTGCCCTTTAGAGAGGAGAGGGTACTTCCTCTTATCTTGGGCTACAAGCGGGAGGGGATGCAAGGGACCCATTGGGGAACTTCGTATCCCAGGAGTTGAAGGACCATAACACAGATGGGAGATTCTTGTCTATTTTGTCCACTGCTGAGTCCCCAGCACTCCTGGGCTGGTATACAATAGGTACTCAATAAAGGAGCCTGTGGCTGGATGGGCCTGAGCTGGCATTGCTGGAGCGAGCCAGGGTGCATGGAGAGTCGGCTGGGCTGCTATAGGTGTGCAGCAAAGGGCAGGGCAACCACAGACCCCAGGGAGGAGGCCAGCCTGGCCATCTGCATCCCAAAGTACTTCCTAGTAAGGAAGGTGGCCTCAGCAGGAGGAGCTTGCTGTACTGGAGGACACCATCCTGCGGGAGCTGAAGGGGAGGTGGTGAATTGTGGCCAGCAGGAGGTGCCAGCACTTCTGGTGCTGGGAAGCCATGGCCAGCGGAGCCAATAAGAAAGTCTCCAAGACACCTGCGCAAGAACCCCAGAGAGAATGAGCTGGAAACTGTCCCCCAAGACCCCAGTGCCAGCTGGGTGACAACGTAGGCTGCCATGGAACACTGTGTCCTTTCCTTCCCAAACCCTCACACCTGGGCCTGACCCTCTAGGAGTCAAGAACAGCACTTCGAAGAGTTCAGAGAGAAGTCCCCTGCCCCCAAGCCTGGGTTGGCCTGGAGAAGGGGAGAATTCTGAATTCGCTCTCAGGACAGGACCCAGGCCCGGGAGGAGCTCTGCCTTCAGAAAGTGATGTGCTATTCACTAGGATCACTGGAATGGGGAAACGAGCAGGGTGAGCCGGCTGTGGGGTGAGTCTGTTAGACCCATTGGTCTTGAGGTGTGTGGGGGACAACTAGAGAGAACTACTGTCCCCTGCTTCCACCAGGGGACATCTCCCTCCTGCCTTCGGCTCTCTCTTAGGGATCAGGGAGTTCTCGGAGCTGCTCCCAGATAATTCTTGTAAGGGCCAGAAGAATTCTGCATGCCTGTCCGGTGGCTGATTCTCTCTGCAGAGTTAAGGCTGTGGGTCATACCAGCCACACCCTCAGCGTACCCCATGTCATAGAAACATGTGGCAACCAGGTGATTTCCCAGACTCCTGGTCAGGAGGTGGGGTTTTCCATCCCCAAGAGTCACTTCCCAGTTTCTCACTCAGCACCTAGAAGCACCATCCCTGCAGCCTCCACTGTGGGGCTGGTGGCCCAGAGCAAGGGTCCCTGTACCTCTTCAGGCAGCCTGCAGTGAGGAAACGGGGAACAGAATCACCTCCTGCCACCCAGCCAACTCCAACCCTTAGAAATTCCCTATGTGCTGGGGGCTAGGACTCCCCAGTAATCCAGGGCTGGAGGAATGTGCTCTGGCCACACAGGACTGGTCCTGTATTAGGGCTAGCACTCAAAGTGGGGTTGGGGGGACAGATTGCAGGTGGAATGGGTGCTCCGTCATGGTGTAAATCCTAGGGAGCCAGCCTTCCCAGCCTTAGTCTCAGCAGCCCCTCAGGGCCCCACAGCTTCCCAGGTGACATTCTCTCCCAGCCTCTGTTCCATCCATCCGCTGCCTGGACCAGAGGCCTGAGCAGGGAAGCGCAGAGTCCCGTCACTCTGAGGAGGGCTGGGTGCGTGTTGAAGGATAAATGAAGACATGCAGAGCAGTAACAACAACCAAGATTTATAAATGCCTGGCTGGGCACGGTGGCTCACCCCTGTAATCCCAGCACTTTGGGAGGCCGAGGTGTGCAGATCATGAAGTCAGGATATTGAGACCATCCTGGCCAACATGGTGAAATCTCTACTAAAAAATACAAAAATTAGCAGGTTGTGGTGGCGGGCACCTGTAATCCCAGCTACTCAGGAGGCTGAGACGGAATTGCTTGAACCCAGCAGGCAGTGGCTGCAGTGAGCCTATATTGCACCACTGCACTCCAGCCTGGGCGACAGAGTGAGACTGTCTAAAGAAAAAAAAAATGCCTATTGTTTCATATATATATATATATATATATATATATATAACAGGCATTTTAATATAATACATATTTATTATATATAAAATATATACAAATAATATTTAGATATATAATATATATTTTTTATATTATACACATTTACTTAAGTATATATAAAGTACAGACTGCATTATGTATATTACATATCTTTAAACGTTTGGAGTAGTCTCATGAGGTCAGTTCAGAGATTCAGACCCAGATGGTCTGGATCTAGAGTCTAAACAGGCCGGGTGCAGTGGCTCACACCTATAATCCCAGCACTTTGGGAGGCCAGAGGCAGGAAGACCACTTGAGGGTGGGAAGAGCTCTTGAGCTCAGGAGTTCAAAACCAGCCTGGGCAACATGGCGAAATCCCGTCTCTACAAAAAAATACAAAATCAGCTGGGCAGGGTGGCCCGAGCCTGGAGTCCCAGCTACTCGGAAGGCTGAGGAGGGAGGATCACTTGAGCCCAGGAGCCCGAGGCTGCAGTGAGCTATGGGTGACAGAGTGAGACCCTGTCTCTAAAAAAATTAAAAAATAAGAATTAAATATATTTAAAATAGAGTCTAAATGAGTGAATGATCTAGAATTCTCTTGGTTCGCCTAGAGCAGGTGTCAGCTTTGGGGGATGTTTTTCCAAATTAGTGCCTCACCCTCAAGGGACAAAGGAACCTGTGGGAGCTGGGAGGGCAGGTGGAGGCCGGGCAGGTGGAGATCACGGCCGGGGGTCTCCTGGCTCGCACTGGGAATGATGACGAAGTGGAGGGGATGACAGGAGGAGGCAGAGGGGTCACTCGAGTGCTGGGAGGGACGGTGGAGGTATGGGGCATGCTGGTGTGGTCGGGTGGGAGGCTCATCAGCTGGCGGAGGAGGCGTGCCCAAGGCCGCTTGCCCCGCCCCTCCCCGCCCCTCCCCGCCCCTCCCCACCTGGCCTCTCGCCCGCTGGGGCTCGGCTTTCGCTTTCAGTCGCCGGCTGGTGAGCGCAGCGGAGCCTGGAGAGAAGGCGCCGGGCTGCGAGGGCGCGAGGGCAGGGGGCAGCCGGACCCCCCGCACCCATGGCGCCCGCCGCCGTCTGGGCGGCTCTGGCCGTCGGACTGCAGCTCTGGGCCGCGGGACACGCCTTGCCCACCAAGGTGGGTGACTCGCGCGGCCCCTGGGGGGACAAGCCGCCCCGCATGCCCACCCGGCTGGTGCGCAGCCCTCGGGTGCCCGGGCCGCGCTCTCCCGGGGCGCCGTCACGGGCTGGGAGGTTGGGGGTCCGAGTCGCCGCTCTCCATCTGCATCAGACACGCGCCGCGCGCCTCTGGAGACCCGCCAGCGACCCCGGACCCGGCACACGTGCGCTCGGGGAGCAACCCTGGCCCCTGAAGCCCCTTCCGCGTAGTGACTGGGGTGCATCCTGGTTCCTCCGCGAGCGCAGGCCGGGGCGTTTGGCGCTGAGCAGCGGGCCCTGGGCAGACCACCGCTGGACCCGGGACCCCTCTTCCCTCACCCAGGCGACTACTGCGACAGCTCTTCCCTCCCACGCGGAGGAGAAGGGGCTGCGCCGGGGCGCTGCCCCACTGCCCACGCCGGGTACCCTCTTTAGAAGACTTCCTCCTCCTTTGGGCGACGGTTTTCCGATTTCTTAGAAATACCAGGGTCATGTGTCTCAAGAGCAGGCCCCGGGTGTGTACCAGGCCCACTGAGGGCGCAGAGGGATGGCGAGCTGCCTGCCCGCCCTCTCCGGATGCGTCCGGGTGCCACTGCAGAGTCTGTTCTCTGTGGCCTCTGGGGACAGGGGAGGCGAGGGAGGTCCGTGCTGGTAATCGAGCAAGGCAAATGAGGTCTCCCGGGGCCCCAGGAAAATGGAAACAGCAGAAACCCTAGGGCTGCCATTCAACGTGAACATCACTGCCGCAATAGCAGCGGGTCTGCAAGGGACTGTGCACTCTTTGCCTTTTTTTGACTGTCTCCTGGTCTGGTAACGTAGGATAACCCCATGTTTTGACTGTCTCCATGGTTTGGTAAAATAAGATAACCCCATTTTTCAGAGAAGGACATGGGGCTCAGAAAACTTGTGTTTTCATGGAAGGGCGTGGGAAAGCTCTTCCTCCAAAGGGGACCGACCTCTCCTGCCTTTGGCCCCTGTGCGGAAGCTGTGAGGGAGGTGGGTGTTCATCCTTCCTCAGAGCTGCCCCTAATGGACACATGGCCCCGCTGCCCCATCTGACATCTTGACCTGGGAGGAAGGTGAGAGGTGGCATTGGCTTCTGTAGTGACATAAGGTGGCTCATTGATCTGAGGCCGAAGAGTCCAGTTCTTGTGGGTGGGGGATGGGGGCTGCCAGACTAGAATTGACTCATCCACAGTGGGTGTCGGGAGTGGGTCCTGGGGAGCTGCCCCAGAGGAAGTCCCGGGTGGCCTTTGGGTCAGGAGAGTCCCCACTCTAGGCCAAGAGTGAATGGGGACGACCATGGTCCCCAGTTTGACTTTGGGGTCATGCCATAGACTCTGGCCTCAGAGGGGGTCTTCCCGCCACTGAGCTCAGGCCTGCTTGGGTGAGCTCTTGGGTCATGTGAGCCCCCTGATGGGAGAGAGCTGGCAGGCACAGGGCTCTGCAGCACACCAGGCTGCAGTCCTGGAGTAGGTGGAAGGGGTTTCCCCCCACCTTCCTTCCCCTCCTGACGAGCTCCTGCGGCAGCTCAGATTCCTTCCTCCTCCCTGCTCCCCCTACCCCACCTGGACTCTTGTCGCAGCCTTGTAGCTGGTCTCCTGGCCCTGACCCCTCTTCCCGCTGACCCTCGGCAGAGAGACCCTTTTCAAGCATGAGGCACCTCTCTGCTTGCCTGGGGAGCCTCCTGCGGCTCCCAGTGGTGGAGGCAGAAGCTCCCCTGGAGATCCCAGGCCAGAGTAAGGTACCTGAGTCCTTCCTCCCATTTGTCTGCACATGTACGCCCCGGCCCCTGTGGAACCCATGATGGTCATCGTGGCTGTCATTGTGGAAAAAGCATTGTCCGTGCCATGCCTTCTCCAAGGGACACTCCTTACCTATGTCCTTCAAGGCCTTCTGTAAATTCCACTCTCTCCGGGAAAGCTCTTCCTCTTTCTCAGCTGAATTTGATCTTTCAGCTGCCTGGGCCTTTTGCTCCCTTTGAGGACAGATTGCATTCTGCTTTTTATTCTAGTTGTGTTTCATTCCCCTCAATGGATAAAAGGTGCCTTGAGGGCCGGGTCTCCTCCTCCTTCTCATTAGCAGCATCGCAATAGCTCCTGATTTCTGAACACCCACTAAGCACCAGACGCTGTGCTTGGTACTTTGTCACAGAATTGCTCTGACACCTCCCTTGCAACAACTCCCAAGAGGTGGGTGGTGCCGTTCTTCTTTAGAGATGTGGAAACTGAGGCCCAGAGAGGTGATGGCATGTCCCAGGATCACAGAACTGGGGGGCTGGGGAGCTGGGGGTGGGATTTGAATGCAGGTCTCCTCTCACTGCCCTTCCCAGTGCCCGCATCTGCACTCCTGCTCCCAGCTGGGCCCTCACACACAGTGGGTTCTCAGGATGGATGTCAACTGAGCTGCAGAGGGAGCCCCCAGGAGACCTGAGCTGGCCGTGGATGCAGCTGACTCACTTTTGCCCCATTTAAAAGTCGTATTTGCCAGCTGGTGTGGAAAGTATCATATATTCGTTTAGTCATTTATTCATTTGACAAATAAATGCCAGTAAAGCTGGTGGTAGGTGAGCGCTTGGTGCCCTCTGATGGGGATGAGCAGGGCTTGGGCTGTCTGGGGAGGAGGATGAGGGGTCTCTGCCTGCTGGGCCTGGCCCAGCTACCCCTGGAAGTCTTGATACTGAGGTGTAGCTGTTTGCCTCCTCTTCACCCAGGGTCTGGGGCCAGTTTGGCTTAGAGGAGAGGTTGAGGGCTCCCAGGCTGGACATTGCAGAGGAGTTGGGTGATCTGTGGCTCCTGCTGGCCCTGGGGGCTCTTCCCTCCTTCCACCATATCTCTGTTTCTTTGCCCTCTGCCTCAGATCCCAGCGGGGAGCCTATGTGTTGACTGAGGGTGTGGTCTGATGGTCAGGCACCTCTTCAGAGGGCAATGGGTAGGTGGCCAGGCACCCTGAAGCGGGGCCATTCATTCATTCATTCATTCCCCCAAAGTTCGGGGACACACTTACTCTAAGCCCAGCCCAGTGCCTGGCTCTGGGGACCTCGAGATGACTCCAGCTCCAGCTCTCCAGGAGCTACACTGCCAATACGTCACAGACCTCACAGACCTGGGCTCTACCCCAATTGCCCCTGTGACCTTGGCTGAGCCAGTAAGCCTAGATTCTCATCGTTGATATGGCAAGTATTCCCTGCCTGGCCCTTGTCACAGGGCCATGGGTGTGAACGGCTGAGAACCTGCCGGGCATTCTTGTGTCAGAGGTGGCCCTGTGATCCTGGCGCCTGGCACAGTGGCTCCCTGTAGCACTGTCCCTCTCCAGGACTGGGTGGCGCTTTATGGCCCTTACCACGCAACGCTTCCTGGAGGAGTAGCCAGGACTGGTGTGTGGGGGAAGGGGAGGAGTTTTGCCGGAGCCACGGCGTGTATGTTACATCCGACTCTACACTAACTCAGTTCTTACTTTCGAGACGGAGTCCTGCTCTGTTGCTCCGGTTGGAGTGCAGTGGCAACCCCTCGGCCGACTGCGGCCTCCATCTGCCTCTCGGATTCAAATGATTCTCCTGCCTCAGCCTCCAGAGAAGCTGGGACTATGAGGCGTGCATCACCATGCCTGACTACTTTTTTTTTAATTTTATTTTTAGTAGAGATGGGGTTTCACCATGTTGCCCAGGTTGGTCTTGAATCCCTGACCTCAAGTGATCCCTGGTTCCAATCTTAGTATATGTGTTGCCGAAGCGAGCACCAAGTGATCCTCAAGTGATCCACCTCAGCCTCCCAACATGCTGGAATTACAACCATGAGCCACTGCACCTGGCCCGTTCTCACTTTTAAGCCGTGCTTTTCTGTTCCCAGTTGTGCTGCACACACACCTGCCCCAGGGCCTTTGCGCTTGCTTTCCCCGCCCCTCCGGTGCTCCTCCCACTGGTGTCCCTTGGTCTCCTTATCTCATTTCCTTCTGCTGAAATGGACCGTCCTGCCTGTAGCCCCTTCCTGCCAGGCACTCTCACTCCCCGACCTGCTATGTTTTCTTGTATAACACTCTTGACCTATTCTATTTCTTTCACTTTTATTGTGTCTTCCAACAAGAATATAAGTACCTGGAGGACAGGGACCCATGCCCTACAGTAGACCCTTGCCTAGAATAGGGTTTTTCAATCTCAGCGCCCTTGACATGTAATTCTTTGTTGTGGGACTGTCCCGTGAGCTGTAGGATGTTTAGCAGCATCCCTGGCCTCTCCTTACCGAATGGCAGTAGTGCCACCCTCCCTGGTGACAAAAATCTCCAGATATTGCTAAGTATCCTTTGGAGTCGGGGGATTGCCTCTGGTTGAGAACCACTGGCTAGGACAGTGCCTGGCCCGTAGTAAGTATTCAGAAAACATTACCTGACCTTCACCTTGATAATGTCCTGTTTCACAGATGAGGAGACAGGAGGGTTTGGAAAGTGAGTGGTGGCAGGGGTTCTGTCTGCCTCCATCTCTTAGGATATTTTTTCTGGGCTCCGCTTCCCATTGAATGGGGTCTGCTGAGGATAGGGGTCCTATCTCCCCAAATTGTTCAACCCCCGACATCCCAAGTGTGTAGTTAAGGATGGGGCCACCCACTGGCGGTGACTCAGGACCCCAGAATGCATGTGATGTGCCCAGAAGCAGGTAAGGAGGGAAGCTGGGGTTTGGGGTGCCATAGGGTGAACAGGAACGAAGGAGAGATGCTGTCGCTGCCAGTTCTGGACCCTCGTCTGGGCACGGGAAAGCAGTGCTGGTGACTCTGGGGACAGACCCAGGCCTCCGAATCAGATAAGCCTCAAGTCCTCGCTCTGCCATTCACCGACTCTGCCACCTTGGCCAGGCTTTCTGCCCCTGGGAGCCTCTGTGTTCTTATCTGTAAAATGGGAGTCATCCTAGCCTCACGTACTAGCTGCCAGGATTCAAAGTGCCTTCTGGGCTCACTGGCAGCGATTTGAGCCCTTGGTGGCTTTGCAGGT